CTCCCTCTGGAGCCACATAATGCTTTACAACTGCATATGTAATAGTACTCTCCAAGACCTGTAAACAGACTTGGATGTCTAAAATCAGCGATGTTCCGTGTTAAAAATGTTACATGCTGAACAAAAGTAAAGTAATTTTTACTGGGTGTTACCCTTGCAGTTATGAGATAGGAAGCGCCACACTACACGTATTGCAAGTGAAGAAAAGACCTCCTGCTGTATGTGGTATTTCTCCATGCTCAAAATTATGATAATTCTTGCTGCTGAAAACATTTACGTCACACTGGTCACGTTGATTCTCAGCAGCCATCACCACCATTACACCAGGGACATTATGTGGATCACTGTCTGACCCCTTAGCGTGCCATGACCACATGGCCATAATTATGAAAATATGCCTCTGCCTTAATCTAAGATGATGAAAATAATACCCTAAGGACACCAGTGGTCTGCAGGAGCTATTGTATACTTATTAAGCATGATGTGATCTGGCATTAGTTAGAGCGGTGATATTTGCAATGGCTTAGAGGAAATGGGGGTTTGCAGCAAAGGACCCTATGAGAGAGAGACAGACAGAGAGAAAAAGAGAGAGCTGGACATTATCCAGATGCTTCGGCTCCATGTCAGAAGTGACTGTTTGCCCAGCGAATCCTCAAATTACCACTTCTGTCCAACAGTGTGCATTTAAAACCATCAAAATATTTTGCTACTGTCCTTGCTGACAGACATGCTGTCAGAGCTCGTCATCATTTACAGAGCTTATACCAGATGGCGTCATGTCATCCCAGATTCCTGCTGGGTCGTTGTCGCAAATCCAGGAGGTGACAGCGCTGGATCCTGCGGCTAGCCTCTACTGAAAAGCCATGTTGATACAGTACAGCCAGGAACACATCAGTGATGGAGACAGTTTTCTGAGCAGAGGATTGACAAATTTGGTGCATGATTTATTGATTTAATCTGACTCCTCGGTAACCAGCATGTGTATGTAAAGCAGGATTTAAGGTCCCAGTTAGCCCTTATGCTGCCTGTTTGTGTGTTGTTTATCTGAATAAATGTGATTCTGTACACTCTTCAGGGTTTTAATATTAGAGCACTTTTTCCAAATGAAACAAACGTAAAGGCAAATAAACAAATAAAAGAGTCACAAACCACAAAGCTTGTAAATTGCATTGTTTTTGATGGAAATGGAAATAGTAAAAATTACAGCCATTTTTTTTTATGTAGATTCAAATGCTGCCTGGTGATAATTGACTTGTTTTGCTCCACATTGTGTGGTTTGTGGGAGGAGACACAGTGACTAACTCACTGCAGATAAACGCAGAAAAAGACTTCAAAGAAGACATATAAACCATTTTGGGGTCAGGGTGAGCTGGTGCAGTTTTTATGATCTGAAATTGTGTAATTGCACAGTTCAGAGGAGAAAACGGACTTCTATCACTGAGACTTTGTTTAGCTTCAGGAATATGAAAGAAAGCCTCCCAAAAGCAAAAGCAAATAAGCTTTGGGCTGCAGGCTTGGTCACTAGGGTTCAATAAAATTGTTTTTGTCCGATCTTGGATGAATACAAAGCTTTCAACATGTGACTCCTTTTTCTTCAGGCTCGAGATTTATTTTAGTAGAGTGCAATTTATCTTTGATCAAATCTGAATTTCTGGCTCCAGATGTAGGGTGCAGCGTGGCCTTGACTACAGCATTGAACCCATAGGGCTTCTGGTTCATCTGGCCCTCAAAGCACATTTTCTATTTTGCTAAAGTCTTAGAATAAAAACGATAGGCCAGGCATGTGTTTAGCTCGGACCTCCTGAGTAATTTCCCTCATAGCCGCTAACCACAGCACCATGCCTCCTATTATTTTCTCTAAGGGTTTGATGAAGTTTGGAATCATGTTGTAGAAATCTGAGTTCGTGCAGCAAAGCTCTTGGCATCACAACCTCACCACAACAGGCAGATGTAGGTTATGCATTTATGTGTTCCAACATGGACTTTACAGAGGTTACCACTTGTTTTTGTACGGGGGTTAATTTACAAATTGGTTTGTAAAGTCATGCTCGTTATGGTATACGTGTTCTATAGCAGAGTCACTGTGCAACAGTGATACGTACAGCATAAACCCGACTTATAAATAGACAGAAATGAAAGAGAAAACAACTCTCAGATAGTTGTTTTTCAGCCACACGGAAGAGAAAGACAGAGCCTTTTTGTCATTCATTTGACCATTGTCTTAAAATGAGCAATACAAACCAGCACCACCATACACCAGAATATAAACCAGGCATGCATGCAAACACACACACAATAACATAATAAACTGTCAGATACAGATAAAAGTGTCAACATCAGTAGCACCATCAGAATAACAAACATTGCCCCTACAAAGACATGCACAAGTACAAATAATGAAGCTCAAACAGTGCAAGCTGCTGGTGATCCTGCAGCCATTCATTGTAATAAAATAGAAGGACGTGTTATGCTGCAGCTATTATCATTAATATAATCACCAGATTGATAGGCTCAGCTTTCATAGCCTCTAAATGGCTAACCTAGCCTACCTCAAAACACCTCTTGAGCAGTGTTAAAGTGTATATTTTCATTTGTAACTTGAACAAAGTGGCCTGTTAAAACCACACCAGCCTGTATGAATACTAAAAACCCCTTGAAATTGTGTGTTCTGTTGTGGAAATGGATGTCCTACTCGCAGCTCAATAAAATGGAACATTTTCACAGCAGGCATTTTGACTTTTCATCGTGGGAAAAGCACAAGTGTTTTGAACAATTGCTCCCAGTAAGCCAGTACGTCATGACAGTGAGCCAGCAGGAGTCAGAAACTGAAGCAGCTAAATGAAATTCATCCATCATTAATGTTATTATTTTGCTTGCTTTTCCTGCTCTGACATGTCAAACTATTAGAGAAAGTAAAATAAATTGAATATTGTTGGTAGAAATCGCTAAAAAAAAGTGCTCAGAGTTGATTAGAGACATATTGCTTTCTCCTATGAGGTTTAATTTGCAGTGGCAGTTTCATTTTGACATGTATTACTATACGCATTGCATCATTTCCTGTTCTGTTATTATATAAAACAATAAAGTATGTGGATTTATTGTATACTAACGGACACACCAGAGGAGTTAGTGGTGACCACAGTACAAGGGTAGTTATCCTGATTATGATGTAGATTATTAGTATGGTGGTAACTGTGCAGCCCAACAACAATAGGCTGTAAAACATAAAACATCTTAAAGTAATAAAAAGTGATAAAGATGTAGAGAGACAAGGATGAGTAACGGCAGAGACTCTTTGTTGCCTGAACTCTGACTCTGACGGTGTTTCATTGTGTGTGTTGTGCAGCACGCTGTTATCAGCACTGACCGTATCTTATTAATGTTGCACCTCAGATCACCCGACAGACTAGACATTGTCTAATCCATATTTGTTGAACAGTTTGCCCTCAGAACACTTAATGTCTTTCTCTTCATTGGCAAATCCCCTTGTGGAAAACTCCAGAAAGCGGCTATTTGAGCACAAAACTATAATCAAGCAATGTCTGTCTTCACCTCTGGTCTTGCTGGCCTAATTGTTGGGAAGTGTAGGCAGTTTAGATGCATAGGTGGAGCCACTTCTCAACAGTTATTACTGTAACTTCATGTTACATCACAGTTGAGACAAATTGACCAACCAGGGGTGGTTTGGGTTCTTAAAAATCAGCGGCAAGAACTAAATGTCTTCATATAGCCCAAGGGATACAACAACAACAATGTTTAGTCTATAAAATGTCCATATAAAACTAAATAAAATGCTCATTACAATCAATCCACTACCCAAAGTGTTTCATTTACTATCATATATGAGAAAGAAAAGCAGCAAATCCTCACATTTAAGAAGCTGAAACCAGCAAACATTTGACATTTTGGCTTGAATCATTTTCTTTAAATTGACTTATCACAGTTCGCAGCTCGGCTTTATACACTTTGGGGTGTCCCTGTGCTGCTTCACGGTCAACTTTGAGCAAACGCTTTATGGTTTGATACGCTTGTATTGTCACCTGAACCTCTGTAAAACAGCAGGCCTGCCTCAAGTCAATGCTGTTGCTATTAGGGAAATGATATGTTGCTAAATCCAGTAGGTGCACTTGGAAATTCTGAGTCATAATTTTGAACTTACAATGCGAGTGGTTTCCAAAGGCCATTCCCACAGCTGTCACACCAAGGAACAAATACTAAACAGTATCGTGATTTGGTATGACTAAACTAAACATTGATTCAATGAGTCCTTGAGCAATATCTTAAGCCTACCCGCTCAAGGGGCCCTGGTTGGCGGCTGAAACTGACCCCTGACCTCTGGCAAACACTATCTCCTTTACAGCCAACTTTTTTATTACAGCTAAAAAGGTCAATTTCTGCAAATGTATGCACCCCCACTCCTCAGTCAGACTGTGAATATCACTGATCACAATGCTAAGTCACATCATGCTTGATAAGTATTCAGATCATGGAGTGAACCGGTGTCCTCAAGGCATAATTTCTATCATTTGAGACTAGGGCTAAGGACCTGTAAGTGGCTGCTTACAGTAAACCAACATATTTAAAGGTTCTCAACAGAGCTCAAACGCCAACAGAAACCATTAACAGGACAGTGATTTAAGGGTGACAATGTAAGGTCTACAGTATTACGCTTAAGTGTCCTTGAGGGAAAAAATACTACACCCTCCGGACTGTGGTTTCTAGTTTCCCCCTGGCCTTTTGACTTCTCTGTGCTGGCATACATCTTCCCTATACGATCACAATAACATCAACACTGAAATATCCTATTCAGGGGCAGATGTGTGAATTAGAAATGTGTTTAAGAAGCAGGAGTTATGCAGGGTTTTTTGTTTTTTTTTGTACCCATAAGACACCTTAAACCTCCATTCCTATAGGTGTCACTATAGTCGGCCATCCCCCTCCCCTTCCACGCTGCTCCTTCTCCTCCTCCCATCCACCAAACCTCCGCGAAAGGGTGTGCGTTTTGAAGGTTGTATGAAGCTAAACACCAGCGCAGAGGAGAGCAGTCGCCACTTGGGTTGACAACCCAGGACGAGCCACTGCAGCCGGGGCGGAGCACACCCAACCAGAGTCTTTTTACCCCCACCCTCCCCATCTTCCCTCTGAGCTTAAACACCCCCCCACCCACCCTCTGAACCAAGGTCTTGTCCTCCAGGGAGAACGGTGGCAATGCCGCATACACGGACACCGATGTCAAAAAGTTGAAATGCACAGGTTTACAAGGCAAAATGCGAAAGTGGCAGCTGTGCGGCTTCTCTTCAAGGTCAGTATCTGAGCGCCGCCGTCGCCGCCGCCTCACGGACGAGTTTCTCGGGCTGTCGGAGGGAAGAAGAGGCGTGGAGGGGGATGCCTGCTGTGTCTCGCTTGCCTCCAGCATCAACAATGACATCTTTCGCCGACATGGAAATTGATAGCCAGTGACACAGAACACGGACAAACTTGTGAAACACCGCTTGTTTTTTTTTTTTAAATGTTTTTTTATTTGCTTTTTACAGCACTGAAAGAAAGAAACTCTTAACAGCGTCTTGACATTTCCTGCTTTCTTTCAACGGCCTGTATCGGTGCGACTGTTTACCTGAGCCACAAGCAGCCCCGCTGTTATCAAGCTAGCTACCGTTGACTGACGGAATGGGCTTTTGGTTCGGTTTCCGCCACTAACGGTAGCCCACCTGTATATATAGGCAAGAAGAACGGGCCGTTAAAGTCAGTTAGAATGTTCAACGGTTGGACAGTTGGTTACCTAACGTGACGTTACGAAGTTTTATCCAACTTCCTTGAACTTGTTTGGGGTTCTCAAGCCGACTGTCTTTTTTTTTGACCAACTCATTTCTTTTCAAATTACATTTCAAACATGGCTTCGCGGACAGGTACACACAGCCCGGCCGGCATCTGTAAGAGTTTACCGGAGCGGGGACTGCTCCTGCTGATGGTTCTGGTGTTTCTGGAGGGCTCCGTGCTTCCTCTCGGAGCTGCCAGCTCTCCGGATGTCACTCACCAGGCAAATTCGGACAACCACATAGTGAAGGAAGCGGGGCATAACTTCACTAAAAAGCCTTTCCCTGTGCTCAGCCTCGACTACCACCACATACAGGCTCCTTTTGAAATCTCGTTATGGGTGCTGCTCGCCTCTTTAATGAAATTAGGTGAGTACTGTGTTGATGTCACATACGTTATGTTAATGCTGCCTTTTCAGGAAATGCTAGCTGAGGGGTTAGGTTATGGTTGCAGATGTTAGTCAGTGTAGGTGTGTTAGTCCCTTTTGCATACAGTTTTTTTCCACCAGTACCTGCAAATCAAAACAAATAAAGGTAGAGTTCTCAATCTCAATAAAAAGTCTGGGTTAAACTATGAACTCAGATGGCTCCTGCAGAGATAAATCAACTGACATGTAAAGTCTAAGTCTTGATTTAGATAACAAGCCTGCAGATATGGCTATTGATGGGCACATAATGATTGACAGAAAGAACAAACTTATCACTTTACAGTTATAGGAGGATCTCTGACCACCAGGGCACCCTGCTGCCCTTTATTCTGCACATCAATTAAAGATGCCACCGATTGTGCTGAGATAACAAGTTTGACCAGAATAGCTTAATTCAATTGGTGACTCAGAGGGTAAATCTATATTGCTGGTCACGTAGATTACTCATCAGATCTGTCGGTGGTCTTCTGCTAGTGCTTACTCCTTGCTACAGTGATGACTAAGCAGCTTAATGCAGCAGTCTGGGATGTGGGACAGAAACTATTTGGCAAGTTTTCAACACGGAGGGGAACCGTCTGCTACGCTATTGTGAGCCAAAGCCTTACAACGTTGTCCCAAAAGCGACAAGCAAATATGAGTTGAACCACACTGTGTGATGCACACTGAAACACCGTGCAGCTCTTCACTTTCCTCTTTTGCTTCACTGTGTTCTGTTTACCTACTTTTTTTTTTTTTTTTTTTTTGCCGACCCTCACCTCTCCACTGCTTCGTGCTCTCCTTTCTTTCCTTTTTCCATGTACTCTCCTGTCTCTCCATGCATCATCAATCTCCCCTCGCATTGTGCTTTCCACAGCACCGCATTGTCCCCTGCTATCTTTTTCTTTTCTTTCTGAGAGCCAGCAGCTTGTCAGTTCCCTGTGACATCAGGGGCCTGACTGAGTCACCAGCCTGTAAGCCAGAGGAGAATACAGCCTTCAGTGTCTGGGCGAGAAGCCCGGTGTCTCTGGGGAGGGGACAGGCAGACCGGGACCCCCTGGCCCCGGTGGCTCTCTGTTGGGAAGCAGCTCAAGGGCATGGAGTGAAAAATGAGAGACGAGAACAAGGAGAGAGTTAGTTAAATGAATGATGAAAGTATAGGAAGCAGATGGGAGGCAGAAAAGAATTGGGACTGGATAAGTGTGTGGGCTGACAGCAGCAGCAGACAGTGGTGACCTTAAGCCTTTGATTATCCCTGGATGGCTGAAAATGGGCTGTGGGTAATTCAATGTGGCTACACTGCTCAGCCTCGGTTCAGCATCTGATTCATGTTCATAGACCTAATATCTTACGAGCCTAAAAGCCCATCCTCAGTCCATTTATCTCTTTAGGAACCCTGTCTCTGGCATGGTGCCTTTCTGTCCTTATTTTTCACATGAGTACTTTTCTTGGATTGATTATACCCAATGCAGTGGCTTTTCTTATGTAACCCAGAACCCATGGGATGTCATTTTACTGAGAAAACACCCTAACAGTTGCAAAGTCCTTATATTTATGAGATTTTGTTTATTTTGGCCCCTGCAATTAGGCTACAGGCCAGTATTACACAGAAATAACTATTCTTTATCGACCTATGGCGAAAGCTATAATTGGCGCGGGAAGCTGACTATATAGTCATAAAGTGATCCATTTGTTTAATCTCTGTGTTTAGAGGAAAGGTGTGTTCTGAAGGATAGTTATAATCAGGAAGGATTAATGCTAAGAAGCTGTTATCTAAACGACATTGTTCCACATTCGTTTTGTGAATGTAATATGTAACAAGACACTCATAAACAAGACTTCACCTGCAGTTGTAAAGAATAATGAGTACACCTGTAGTAGGGAGTCAGGCTTAAAATAGTTCATAGTCTTATCAAACATCCATGCAGCACTGACTTTCAGATTGACCTTTCGGTTAGGTTTGATCTGATAATATTCACCAGTAATGCATAAGTGGGCAGTGGGACACACCTTGTAACTTAGCAACTTATTCCAGCGTTCCCCTCCTTCCAGAAAGGCTTCTTGGAACATGTCTGACATGTCTAGTTTGTCTCATCTGTCATTTGTAATTCACAACTGGCCAAACAATTTGACAAGAAGGTGTGTGTTACTTCAGTGTGACACTCAACATTACATACAGAGGTGCTGTTATAGTTTTTGTTGTGGTGGGAGTTGGGCAGCAGTCCCAATGATTCCTGTAAGTACGAGTGAAGAAAAGGGAGTGAGCATCAGCTATATAGAGTGAAGAGTGAAATAAACAATTAACATTTTGGATTGCTAGTATCTTACTTTATGCCTGACCATGCTGTGCTTGTAGTGATTTAACAAGTACAGTTATAACAATGTTCTCAGCAGTGCTGCAGTTTTTATTACAGCAATTGTCAAGAATATTTTGGAAGTGAGAATAAAGAACTTAACTGGTTGTTATCAACACAAGCTCTGTTTATTATTAACTTTTTTAATATTTGTAATTACAGGTGAAGCACCAAATTACAGTAACTGTGCTGTATATGCTAAACTCAGTACATTTGTCTAAAAGCAAAAGCTGTTCAAGCACATACAGTAAGTAAAAGGACCTAAGTGGAAGTTTGGTTATTTTTAGAAAAGTCGGGTAATTTATTATTTTGTGTTTTTGTTGTATATTCAGACAGCAGGAAGTGACATCAAGGGAAATACTGAAAGACTATTCTCATTCATTCCTGGGAGGACAGCGTAGATACAGATCCAGAGCTTTGGGAATGAGCCATTCCACTGTGAGTGGGCATATAAATGCAGATTTTGAGAGCTGATTTGTCATTGTTGTATACTAAAATATTGCACATATTCAATGCCAACGCAGAATTGTAACTTCAGCAGGCATAGGATTATCATATATTAGTGGTTAACTAATTGTTGTAATCTGTTTTACCCAGATACAATGGAAAGTCCCTGTCAGGTTTTGTCTGTCTTTCATGTGGTTCTTTCTGATTCTCACATGAGGAACTGTAAAAGCTTTAGGCTGTTTTGCCTTGTAATTACCAGACATAAATGTAGTCAAATGTAGTTTTTACAGTGTGTACTTTAATTTTCTAAGATCCATTATTACTTGGATCAACACTATTTAAGGAATGGTTCGATTGTTTTGCTCGTTTGTTTGCAGAGTAAATGGTTCCCTTAGAGTCCTACCCAAGGATTGCTTTATCTAGGGTCAACAATTGATGATAACTAAGGTTGGAGACATTATCAGTGTTACTGAGTTTCACTCACAGACCACCTGTATGTGTTCGTCCTAGTACTTCCTGCTACAGTCACTGTATTTTTTTTTTTTTTTTTTATTAAATCACAACATTTTCTCAATAAAATCAGTGCCCGACCACACTTTGACAAGACATATGACTCTGTATGAGTAAGTAGAGTCAGTATGTCTGATTGTGATTCTGAAGTGAATACATTTGTTGTTTTGGAGTCCAACTTTATAGGCTTTGTCAAACTCATTAAGAAACATGGGCCTTACTAGTGTCCTTATCTAAAATGCCTGTGTGGGAAAGACTTGATGTGTGTTGTCAGAACCCACACCCTTGGTAAAGCTTAAGTCAATGTGTCACAAGCTATACACATCTTATCTTTCATGTGTTACTTATGTTGGGATTTAGCACATTACTTTTCTTAAAGAAAAAAAAGTATGTTTGTTAGTTGGTTAGTTATGGGAATTGATTATTTTATCAATTTTCTGTGTGGAAAAAAGAAGTCCTGCCTCGTCAATGCAACTGTTTTTTATTTACTTATTATCTCTGAGTCCGAACACAGTGTAGAAACAGTAGAACAAAGGCGTGCAGGTGACTGAGGTGTACAAAAGCTCTGCTGTTTAATTTGGAACCGGTTATATTTACAGTATTTGTTTTCATTTAGGTTTTCCAAGTCAAAGTGAAAATCTACTAAGCCTGCCTGCTTGACGCTAATGTTATTGTTACATAGGATATTTACTCTCTGTAACAGACATGCTGCTTGGTTTGGAAGCAGCGTTTAGGGTGTAATTTGTTTGCATTGTGCAGCTGTCAGAAAAAACATGCTGGTTCTCCATTCAATGTCTAAACATAATCTTATAAATGGATGTCTTACTTCTTATGAGATTACTCTCTTTTTTTGTTGATATCTAAGACATTTAAGTACCGTAGATGGTCTCTAAAGCAATAATACGGACAGCACAGTGGCTCCCCCATCAAAACATGTATGTTAGGTTCATTCTCCAGTCAGTACCGTTCACCAAGGCATTGGTTCAGAGGGCTGTACAGGGGCTGCTCACTGCTGCTAGTAGTTATGAGGATGAGTTAAATGCAGAGGACAAATTTCACTATGAGTTGTACTATGTATGATGAGATCATAAAGTTGGTTTAATGGTTCTCCATTCTGTGCGTGCATCACAGGGTTTCGAAAAGTAATGATCAGTTCAAATGTCAGAGGCTGAGGACATTTTAGCAATTGAAAATTATTTCTATTTTAAGAAATGACATCATGGGTGCATCAGTGGCTTGTACTCTTTACCTTCATAGAAGTATCTGCCTTATCTACAATATTGCTGCCGTCTCTGTGATATAAGACTATCTCTTGGCAGCTACAAGACAACCTCAAAGGTGGATCTACTGTATATATCCACACTTGTCCTTTTATTTCCTTCTTTGCCAAATCCTTGTCTGTTTTCCTTAGATTTGAAACATCAGACACTAGAAAGGCTGATGTACAGTACAGTATTGCTTGTAACAGACATTTGATTCTGTCACTGAATTGTATTTCATTCAGTAGTTATAGTGGAAGATGTGCTTGTGCAGTAAGGATCAGTTAGAAGTGTTGTGGTGTTAACACAGAACCTCATGAGGAATCACCCATGTGAGTTAGTAGTATCGTTGTACAGATATGGCGCCAGGGATCATACTGAAATATACCAGCAGC